AGGCGATGGATACAGTGGGAAGAGAGGGAGCACTACGGACTACTGCTGAGGAGGACAAGAAAGGTAAGACCTCAGACCCCCAGGATCTTGGATCAGGAAGTGTGGCAGGCGGAAGCAACAAGGAAGCAGGGGAGTCAACCACAGACAGTGAAAATGGCTCCCAACGCTCCCTTCAGTGGCTCAGGGACAGTCACTATGTTGAAAAGGTTAAAAGGGAGAGGGAGCACGCTTTCACATGGAAGAGGATTAACTTCTTTAGGGTTTAGGGTTTAGGGCTGAGGTTTTGGACAGAAACAAGACATTGTCAAGCAGGGGTTAGAATGTTAAGGATTTCACGACACTTTTTTGCGGGACTCGGGGTTTAGACAGCATTGGCAGCAGTTGTAGCCTGTCAGACCTTTCTTGGTGTGCATGGTTATCAGACAGGATCTTCTAGTAGTCCTGAGAGGAAAGGTGTAAGCAGGGCAAGCTGACAGTCAATCCTCCACGTTGCTGGAGTAATCAATGCTGATCAAGGTTCCTTCGGCCAGACGGAAGGAAGCGTGAGGGTGTCCTATGCTGTATCATTCTTATTCTGACTTGCCGGTGGTGGTACATCCTTCCCAAGGGAAGTAATCAATGCTGTCCACTCGGGCCTCTCAACCATAATGGGGAGGAGCGTGTGTGTGTCTTCATTGTATCCATATTTGACTTGCCGGGGGAATAGGAACCGGACTGTTGCTCCCCAGAATGGCAGGAGCCAGAGCCGAGAGGTTCTGAAAAAAAAAAAACAAAAAAAAAAAAANAAAAAAAAAAAAACAAAACGAAGAAGAAGAAGAAGAAGAAGAAGAAGAAGAAGAAGAAGAAGAAGAAGAAGAAGAAGGAACCGGACTGATGCTCCCCAGAACGGAAATGGAGCCAGGGCCATAAGGACCTGTTTTATTGAAAAAAAAAAAGAAGAAAAAGAAGTACTGTGATCTTTGTCCTTTGGACATCCGTTAAAATGGGAACGATATGAAGAAGATTAGCGTGGGTCCTGTGCAGGTCCTGTGCAAGGACGACATGCATCAATCGAGAAATGGTCCATCAAAAAAGAACAAAGCAAAGAAAGGGATGATCTTCATAAACAGTGATAGACTAGCTGAATCCTCTGACGATTCGTTGATCATTCTGATCTATGTCATCGCTCTACTACGATACAGCCCACCGACCCAAACCGATAGCTCTCATCCTTTACCAACTCAACCAATACAAACTCCTCAGATTCTTCAAGTAAGCCGTCCTTTGAGTCAGTACTTAATCTGAGTTAATCAATTGACTTCTTTACCAGTATCTAGTGTTGGGAAGAGTAAGCGAACCCACGCACATCGTTGATCGAGGGGAAATTCAAAGCAATCAGTGGTTCATTGTGTGCACATTGATCCTGTGGATTCATATATTTCATTTCCCTTTGTCCTTTATAATGATTATTACATTATAAATTTATTACATTGATAATAGTCTGTTGACCGCTCCTTAACATATTGAGTCACTTTAAGTGGGAAATGATTCTCCTTATTCTCCTTAGTACTACGTGTCCGAAATGCCATCAATTGTCTATTGTACACATTTATTACAGCGACAATGCCGAGTTGGGAATGATCAAAACGATTCAAGTTATATTTGTCAGAAAGTGCTATCAGTGGGAGAATCACAACACCACCAAATGGTCTCAATCATATTGATTCTATGAGTTCTTTTGTCCCCTCCCCCACTCCCCCTATCACTCCTTTTTTCTTTTTTCCCCCCTTTCACTGCGTATGTGTGAGTGTTTGCTATAGACAACCAGCTGCCTTCTGTAAACAAACTCTGACATTGCCACTACAGGTAGTGAGAGGATCTTTTCTTCCTGTTTCTTTCTTTTTTTCTTTCTTCCCCTCCCCCCAACCACCCCAAGGCACTTAAATGCAATACATTTTTCGTGTTTCTTTCTTTTTTTCTTTCTTCCCCTCCCCCCCACCACCCCAAGGCACTCAAATGCAATACATTTTCCTTTCATCCTAAGCTTGTTCTTTTCTTTTCAATCCCCCCTCTCTTACCCACAATGAAAAAAATTGTTCAACTTTGTTGACAAAGTCTCAGCCTTTTTCCTGCTATCAGACAGAAAACAATCCAGAGCAGCAGGAGGTACCAGAGAGCGCCCAAAAACACTCACGGAAAAAAAGGGGAAAGGAATGAGGTTGGAAGTGTTTGAGAATCCATCCATCCACTGGCATTAGCCTGGAACAGCTCCAGTCGCCACGTGTTTGGAAATTAAAAGAAAGAACAAAACAAAAGGTCACTCACAACTACCGTCTTCACCCGAATAGAACGCCAGGTCTTTATGGCTGTATTTGGGGCAACTTCAAGTCTAGATAGAGCTATAATGATTGGGCATTCAGCCACATTCTCTTTGGGTAAAGATGGATGATTGGGCTTTCCGCCGCATTCTCTTCGGGTGAAGATGGATCATAAATGGTAGCCTATGGAAGAGTACTCACCGGTTGTTCCTCACCCATGTTTCAGTAATATTATATGATCTCTTTCGTTTCTGGAATGTGGAAAGCTCACAGTTGTGACCTTTTTCTGGTTTCACCCATGTTTTTCCCATACGCGCTCGGCGCTCGGTGCTTGCTCTATCAGTGCTTTCTTCCCCAGGGAATGTCTTGGGAAACCTTGGAACACAGAGTTGATGCTACCAAGGCAGCGCCTTTGAAATTTGAACTCTCCTCCCTTTTCTCCCCCCCCCTCCCCCCCTCTCCCTTTTCTTGCTTTATTTTTACTTATGTTAATCATTTCGACCAGTTATTGATTCCTGCATGTTCATCCTTGTGCAGTGGCCATGCTGATCTTCTTTCCCTGTATCAGTCCGTCGTCACTCTCGGTATTTGTCCAATTTTAACGGATGTGTCGATGGACATCCATTCATTTCCTTTCATAATCTGCAAAATGCAGCATGAAAGTTTCTTTCTTCTGAAAAATTGTGCGTAAGTCGGAGAAACTCTGAAAAGTCTCTGCGGACTTGCATGCACATTGCTGATATCGTGTGCGTGCGTGGATGTTTTGTTGTGCTGCAGAAGGCATGCCCCAAGATTCAAGGGGTCTAGTGGAGAGCTGTACCGAAGGACCTGAGGAGATCCTGTGCGGGGGTCGGGGGGTGAGCAGGATCGCGTGGTGTTGTTGGGGCGTGGTTCAAGAGTTCTGCGGCCTGGTTGAGAAATTCCACACCCCTACCCAGAGTCTGTCCATGGACCTGGTGCAGAGAATCAGTACAGCTGCCTCACCATCAGTGACCCGTCCGGCCTGTTCTAGCATTTTGTGGAGGAGGGAGATTCAACCCATCCGTCGCCGTGAGATTGTTGTGGTTGCACCACCGGTGTCCGAAGAGACCAGCTGTGCACGTTGGACTCTCAGCTCTATAGCTCAACATTATAGTAGACTGCATAGGTCTATGACCTTTAGCACATAGTATTAGGGTGTTATTTATAGCTGTCGCCTGTTACTTATAGTCCATCCCTTGTGTATAGGATCTCTGTGGTGTGCGCACGCGATGTAGTCTGGACAATCGGAATAGCCAAGTCATCAATTGGACAACTCGGATCTGCCATAGCTTCTCTAGTTTGTTTCTTTCACTGAAATTCAGTCCGCATCACAGACACTACATCTATTTTTCAACCACCGTGGGAGAATGCGAGTCTCTCGATCCACACTTCATCCAAACGAAGGGTGGCAACGAGGGGAGAAGACAGACATGCACACTGGCACAAGTGCGCACATACACACACATGCATAGTAGCATACACACTCACGAACGCATGCGGTAGTGTTGGACCAGACATATAGTTGCTCTAATTTCTCCAAAACTGAATTCTTAACAGGGGACTGAACGAGATGAGCGTTAGAAGTATGCTAACGTGGCATCGCAGATCTGCTACGAAGTCGACAGACGTGAACAGATATCGGCGAATAAGCTAGGCAAATCTATCAGTAGCAACGTACACACACACACACACACACACACACACACACACACACACACACACACACACACACACACACACACACACACACACACACA